TCAGTGGTTTGTCCTGTCCACGTGATCATGTCAGGGAAGGCCTCCCAGTGCTTCCCACGCCTCCCAGTGCAGCTCTGGAATACCAAGGCACGAATGTTACATAAGGCTCGTTTCCTAACTGAACGCTGTCCGCCGCCTGTTCCCGCGCCACCTTCTGTCCGCTATCATGGCCACGGGCGTAATGTCGGGCTGCGCGAAAATCGCGTTGTTTTGCGCAACCTAACAGGCTAGGTGCTCATCACCTTTGGCTACAGCCTCGACAGTCATGTTCTGCTAAAACAAGCTGATGTTACGCACAGTGGCACAGTGAACATGCTGACATTTGTGTTGGCTTGTTTGCATGTGTGCTACCCCATGTCTAATGCCGTCTGGCAAACAAATCAGTCATGAGTAATTTGGCCATGTTGCCCAAACCTTTAATTTGGCTCTAAGTTTAAATTAACACCCAGTTTGAGCGGGACACAAGCAGCTGTGTCATACACACCGCAGATACTAGCTGTTTTTATGGCAAAGTTTTCAAGCAACACGTCATACAGCGCTTGATGACATGACACCGGGCATTATTGAATCGCATGGACAAATACTCGCGCGATCACGTGTGTGCGTCTTATATTGCCCGCATATCAAATATGAATCGATTGCTACCGACAGCAAGTGATGTGGGCAACTGCTGGTGGGTCATACCTTTCTTGTTTGCAGTGAAAAAAATCCCTTAATATTCTCACCATTTCCGTATGATTTTGAAGCGAAAGGGTTTTTCGCAGATAAGGTGCCTGAAATCTCGTTCTTATTTTCTAGTAAGACAGGTGTAGCCAGGTGGAGCAGCATAACCCGCCACCGGGCCAGATACCCCATCAATTTGAACGTCGCCCCTTGGCGATTTCTTGGACTCGCCACTGTCCACAGTGTCGTGACTATCGCCGCTTCCCCGCACGGTGGGTTGGCCTGGTGCAATGCCAAGGTTGCAACGGCGCGTCACCGTCAGAAATGGCAACGCCTGACGCTGGCAACGGCACTTTACTTAGTGTTCAAGGCACCCGTTCTTACGCTTGTAAGCCTAGTCCAGTTTTTGTTGGTCATGTTCCTTGCTCAGTTTAGCGCCTTGGCCAACTTTTCCAACAGATGTAGGGGAGTTCCGACAGTTGCCGCAACAGATGGGTGGGAGGCTATTCCGCTGTCGGCATCGAAATGCTGTACATCTGGCTGCCGCCTGAGCTGTACAGCTGGCGTCCGCCTGAGCTGTATATCTGGCTGCCTCCTGAAGCTATACATCTGGCTGCCGCCTGAAGCTGTACATCCTTGGCTGCCGCCTGAGCTGCACATCTGACTTGCCGCCTGAGATGTAACATCTGGCTGCCGCCTGAGCGATACAACTGGCTGCCGCCTGAGCTGCCGTGGCTTCCTGCGCCCCTGTTTTGTCGCTACATGAGGCGCCGCTCCGATGAGCGGACACCTCTCCGATGAGGCGACACGGGCCCGGTGAGGCGTCTGCGCCGGACTGACGTGGGCTCTTTCTCACCGTGCTGAATAGCGGGTGATTTGGAGTTGTATGCTACAGAGTGACTGCGGTGGGTGTATTTTGCTGGTGTGTTCTGCGGCTGGGGTGTATTTTGCCTGGTGTGTTCTGCGACAAGGGCAGGTGTAATGGCCGCAGGTCATTGGCGGATAGCCTTAGCATAAGTCTGTACTTATATCTGTATATGCTGTGGGCTGGGCATTCGGCAACCTGTGGTCGTAGGGAACCAAAAGATTTCGTCAGGGACAAGTGAATGCATTAGTATCGGCACATATGCTGCTGCCCTGTGTGCAGCTATCCTCCCGCGGGGGTTCCGAGAGTGTCAGCTCGTGCCGAGAGTCTCAGGTCAGGTCCCGCGGAACCCTCCCCGCGGGGGTTTCCGAGAGTGTCAGCTCGTGCCGAGAGTCTCAGGTCAGGTCCCGCGGAAACCCTCCCGCGGGGGTTCCGAGAGTGTCAGCTCGTGCCGAGAGTCTCAGGTCAGGTCTTCTGCTCTCCACTGCCGGCCAGTGCGGACCACCCGGCGGCGGCACTCTGGTATAGTGCATACGTAATGGAACAAAGGCTCGACGCCCTCGGCCTAACAACAGACTGTGACGTTGCCATGGCAGATACAGCACAACGATAGTAGGGGTGATTAGAGCACAGCCCACTGCTGAGTGGGCTGTGCTCCGACGGCGCTGTTCCACCCGCTGAGCCCTGGCGTTAGGAACGCGGTGCCAGACACCGGGTACAGCTGGTCGTCGTCCCAATCCGTCCGATCTGTGTACGCATCGGGGAAGTGGTGACTGCACTGTTCATTTGTCATGCAGCCAGCCGCCGGGTTTGCAGCCCCCCCCCCCCCCCCCCACCCGATGCTTATCAGTTTTACGGCCTTATCCGAGCTTTTGATTGAATTCATTTTTGGAATCAGCGTCCACCCTGAGCAGCGTTTGTTGCGTGAGCCCGGTCTCCTCCGACCGATAGCCCGGTCTCCTCCGACCGATAGCCCGGTCTCCTCGACCGATAGCCCGTTCTCCTTCGACCGATAGCCCGGTCTCCTCTGACCGATATCCCGGTCTCCTCCGACCGATAGCCCGGTCTCCTCCGACCGATAGCCTGGTCTCCTCCGACCGATGGCCCGGTCTCCTCTGACCGATAGCCTGGTCTCCTCCGACCGATGCCCGGTCTTCTCCGACCGATAGCCTGGTCTCCTCCGACCGATAGCCCGGTCTCCTCCGACCGATACCTGGTCTCCGATAGCCTGGTCTCCTCCGACCGATAGCCCGGTCTCCTCCGACCGATAGCCTGGTCTCCTCCGACTGATAGCCCGTTCTCCTCCGACCGATAGCCCGGTCCTCCTCCGACCGAGAGCCCGGTCTCGCTCTGACCGATTAGCCTGGTCTCCGCCGATGCCCGGTCTCCTCCGACCGATAGCCCGGTCTCCTCCGACCGATAGCCCGGTCTCCTCCGACCGATAGCCCGGTCTCCTCCGACCGATAACTCGGTCTCCTCTGACCGATAGCCTGGTCTCCGCCGACCGATAGCCTGGTCTCCTCCGACTGATAGCCCGGTCTCCTCCGACCGATAGCCCGGTCTCCTCCGACCGATAGCCTGGTCTCCTCCGACTGATAGCCCGGTCTCCTCCGACCGATAGCCCGGTCTCCTCCGACCGATAGCCCGGTCTCCTCTGACCGATAGCCCGGTCTCCTCCGACCGATAGCCCGGTCTCCTCTGACCGATAGCCTGGTCTCCGCCGACCGATAGCGAACCTTCGGGTGAGCGGCATATTTTGGGAGCGAAGATGAACGTGTCACAATGTTCGTCACGGTCCGTCCTATCCTCAAACGTCATCTGACCTTTATCGTGATCGTCACTACCGGCCGCAGACTCGGAAGACCGACGGGAATCGGAAGTCAGACGCTCTAACCCACCGAGTTATCGGGAGAGGCCATGCAGCTTAGCCAGCAGCTTAGGCCGCGGCCTGATGCAGACGGTGGGCGCGGTCCGACTGCAGCTCAGCCGGCGCCAGGCCGTCAGAGGCGGCGGCCGCGGCTGGGTTATCGGCTTGGCCCATAGTGCGCTGCATGTGGCTCTGGGGCAGCCAGGATCAGTATCAAGAGGTTAACATATATGCACCGACAAAATGTGTCGCACGCCTGCTCCTGTATACCAGGTGAACCACGAGAGTTAAGTTTCTTATTTGGTATCGTATTTAAACGACAAGAGGTGTCTTAAGAACTGCACCACAACCACACCAACTGGTGACTGGAGTCGATGCGTGCGCGGCTCAGAGTAAGGCGCCGGCCCAGTCATAGCCGAAATGTCCTGGCGCCGCACCCTCGACGCCAGCGGTCAGCGGCTGGGACAGAGGAACAGTGAGTAGGCAGGAGCGGAGGCACACTGAGAACTAGACTGAAACTAAGACTGAGACTGAGACCAAGAAAAGAAAGCTACAGAGATAGGGCGGGGGGGGGGGGAGAAGGGGAGATATAAGTTACATACACACGAAGTTGACTGTCTCGCATTGGCTTGAATGGGTGCCTGGCTGCGCCCCGGTATACCACGTCTGACAGGGCTGCTGTAAGCCACTCCAATTGCTGTGTCGCTCCGTTGTATACCATGTCTGACAACGCTTCTGTATGCCACTTAAAGTGCCTGCCGCTCGCTGCATACTCTGCTGAACGCAACTCATGCATGCCTTGCCCGGCTACTGCCCCTGTTTGCTCTGGTAATTGTCCACGAAGACTTGAGGCTTGCTTGAGCGCGTCCAGTCCCATCGCGATAAAAGTGCCCCTTACATACTGCGATTAGCGCGCCCGCGTATACCGCGCCGAGTGCCCCCATGCCCCCCCCCCCCCCCTCCCCTCCGACCCTCCCTTCTGCTATGCACAGTGCGGCCCTGCATACCATGTCAGCGGTGCCAGTATACAGGCTGCGGGCCTCTTTGTGAGCTGCACGGGGCTGTCTGGGACGAGGCGCAGCTGGCCCTGTGGAGGCGTGTCCCAGCCCACCGTCCACCGCGGCTGGCCCTGTGGAGGCGTGTCCCAGCCCACCGTCCGCCGCGGCCGGCCCTGTGGAGGCGTGTCCCAGCTCGCCGTCCGCCGCGGCCCCCCCGGCCGCCATGCCTGACTGCGCCCCGTGCCGGCGGGCTGAACCTTGCCGGCTCAGGTGATAGCGCCAGTGTGCCGTTGTCCGAGGCGGGCCGCCGTCCGGTCCCTCAGCCGATCGATTGAGCGGGTGAGCTGTCCGTCCCTGGGGTGCGGCGCGCGCGCGGTGGATCAGCGTGCAGTGCGGGTGCATGGCGCCCTTGATCGGATTAGCTGCGCGCAGTGCCTTTCAGCCGCAAGCCTCTGTTCGGAGGACAGCTTAACTTGGCCGTAATTCCACTAACGGAGTGTTTTTGCAAGATTCCACATAAAGAAATGCGTTGCATGTAGGCATGTCCCTCATTCAGATAAAGGAACGAGAAAAAAGAGAAGACAGAGAACAACAAGAACATTGAAGGAAGAGGAAGTGTTAAGCTGAGCAAGAGAGATCAAGTGGAACTAGTGATAGCGTTGCTAGCGAGGTGAGAAGAAGGGAAGAAGGAACAGAACAGAGGAATAGGGGAGAAAGAAGGAAGGGAGGAAGGAGAGAGCAAGGGAGGGGAAGCGAACCAGAAAAGAAAAACAGCGGGTGGGAGAGAAAGAGAGAGAGAGATAGAGAGAGAGAGAGAGAGGTAGAGAGAAAGAGAGAGAGGGAGGAGAGAGAAGACAGAGGGAGAAAGGGAAGAGGGGAACAGATAGAAATAGAGAGGGAGACAGAGAGAGAGGGAAAGACAGAGAGAGAGAGAGAGAGAGAGAGACAGAGAGAGAGAGAGGAAAGAAAGGAGAGAGAGGAAGGGAGAGAGAGAGAAGAGAAGACAGAGGGAGAGAAGAGAGAAGAGAGAGAGAGAGAGAGAGAGAGAGAGAGAGAGAGAGAAGAGAGAGAGAGAGAGAGAGAGAAGAGAGAGAGAGAGAGAGAGAAAGAGAGAGAGAGAGAGAGAGAGAGGAGAGAGAGTATGCAAGCGAGCGGGTATGTCATGCGAGTAAAACCTATAGAGTGAGAGTGAAGACTGAGACTTGGGGTGAGAGTGAGGGTAAGGGTGAGAGTGAGAGTGGGAGTGAGGGTGAAACAGCTGTAGAGAGAGGGGAGTGGAAGTTAGAGAGAGCAGGAAAGAGTGGAAAGGGGTGGAGAGGAGGCAAAATATTGATAGTGGTTCCATAGTTGGCAGAGGTAGCTGATGTTCCTAGCATTAATGGTTTTTATGCACCACCGCAACCCGTCGAGCTTGCATTGGAGATGTAAACTGGGAAGCCGTCCGGAGCGTGCAAGTTACCATTGAGTAAGCTGGGAAGCCGGGTCTGGAGCGTGCAGTTACCATTGAGTAAGCTGGGAAGCCGGTCTGGAGCGTGCAGTTACCATTGAGTAAGCTGGGAAGCCGGTCCGGAGCGTGCAGTTACCATTAAGCGGGCGGTTTTTGAGCTTCGCCCGGCTATCATTTAGACCGTGTCCAGGCTGCGGCGATGCGGCGGAAACATGTCGCCTCGTTCCGCTTGATGTAGAATGGGTGCTGTAACAATTACAGCATTATATCTTTTGGCTACTTTAAGGTGCAAAACGCTGAATTCCAGCCAAGAAAGGGTTTCGCGCGTCGAAGTTATTGTATGCAGCTAAGCCCATCACCTTTCGCGAATCAAACGAAAACTGATTTTTGGATATCGGTGCTGCGAATGTATCTTTCAAGATTTGCATTTCAGATGCTTCGAGAACATACCTACGTGATTGCTTTGCTTTACTTACTACAAGCGCACGTGCTGAGGATGACAGATGCACGTGTAAACGCAGCACAACTGTGAGTCGTGTCTAAAGACGTCTTGAGAAGACATGGAATCAGAAACCATGAGGAAAGCATGACAGAATGCATGAATCCATCCCGTAAATATCCAGTGCTTTTCAATGTACATTCCGTTTATCCGCAGTCAGCACATTATTGACAGACAGGCATTCCCGTTGGCTCATTTTTTCCTCGTGATCTTCGTGCTTTTTAACGCAGCGCCACCATCGGCCTGCAACCGCAAGAGGTTTGTCATCGCTTCGCCAAAGCGATGATTGGGAGCAGGCTTAACAAACCGTAATATGACCGACTTCAGCGCCCACCGCGACGGGAGGCGGCGCCCGCGAGGGGAATCCTTATGTTAGGGATCAACCAAGCAGGCTTAACATACCGTAATATGACCGACTTCAGCGCCCACCGCGACGGGAGGCGGCGCCCGCGAGGGGAGCCCTTATGTTAGGGATCAACCAAGCAGGCTAACATACCGTAATATGGCCGACTTCAGCGCCCACCGCGACGGGAGGCGGCGCCCGCGAGGGGAAGCCCTTATGTTAGGGATCAACCAGAAGTCAGTTTTGGCCCAGGGCGCGGGCAGTACGGAGGGTGCCTCACCAACTCGATGCCGCCGTCAGCTAGAGTGTCCGCCGCAACAGCGGCGTGATGGGGTGGAGAGTTGTCGCGTTGAATGAGTCGGCCGCCCGTCTTCCCTGGAAGGTGTTTGACGGAGGACACGTTTTAAACGCATGACACTATGTTTTAAATGAAATCCTTGCTAAAATGACGAAAACCAAGGAGGGCCCCGTAGTGTTCAAAATATGTTTCCCTTTCCTTACCTTTTCAAGAAAGTTTGGCTTCGTGGATAGGACACGTGGGTGGCACGTTACCTTTGCCGGTCACGGCTGAGTGGCTCCTCCGTCACAGCCCGGGGTAACCTTCGTGGATAGGACACTAGGTGGCACGTTACCTTTGCCGGTCACGGCGGAGTGACTCCTCCGTCACAGCCCGAGGTACACCTACCAGCTGTCGTCCTGGCGACACGGACAATATGGCGTCACGAGACGCGGATCCTGGTAGATCCGGGGTAGATCCGGAGGCCCCGTGGGATCCTCTGGTCGATCTGGACTCATCAGTCTCCTTACTGTCGTGGGTACCCTCTGGCTGCGGAAGTTGAATCCAGATCGACGCAGGGGACCCTCACTGATGCCTCTGGCCGGTGCAGTTGGATCCGGATCGACGAATCAACGCAGGGACCCTCACTGATGCAAAAGTATTCCTTGTATTAAATAGGCTTTAAACTTGTATTGCATTGGTCAGCTTACCAAACGCGGCGTCACGCCAAACGTCCCCCGCAAAAAAAAATTAATGCTACCCTGCATAAAGCGCGAAAATGTCTTAAATGGACTAGCGGCCATTAGGAAATTGTTGATCTCTTCCTGACAGTTTCGAGCGTCTTCGTGCGAGTAACCTCTGGCGTTGCCGGATTGGAGATAGGTGTCAGATCATGCAGGAACCGAGTGAACTGAAGGTGAAGATCTAAGTGCCTTGTGAAGAACATTGTATTGGCTACCAGATACATTGATTGACGTTGGTGCCCACACCATCCTAAACGGGATCGGTTAATCCTGATCGTGTGTCTCCGGGACTACCTGAGTTAGGTCAGCCTAAACTACCTGATATGATCAGCGAACGAGGCATGGTGACGATGCCAAACATGATGTCGGACACTCGTGCGCCCGAGGCGTTCCACTAACGGGTGGTCGGCCCTGCCTTGGTGTCCGTGCGTCCCCCTCAGACCACAGCTGACGGTGTGTTGCAGCTCCCGCGAGAGCGTACCTCGTTCGCGCGAGGGATTATTTTGCCCCGAGCGACTGGCACGTGGATTTCGCTGCCACCAGCCGTTCGCCCGCCTTCCGCCGTCAGCGTCCTGACCTTTATAATTCACCTAGTCATTTACCTGTGATTTCGCTGCCACCAGCCGTCCGCCCGCCTTCCGCCGTCAGCGTCCTGACCTTTATAATTCCACTAGTCATTTACCTGTGATTTCGCTGCCACCAGCCGTCCGCCCGCCTTCCGCCGTCAGCGTCCTGACCTTTATAATTCACCTAGTCAATTTACCTGTGATTGAGATAAACATACTTCGCCATTTTATCACCGAGCGTAACTGTCGATGTGTTTGTACTTTCGCGTTTAATGCATGTAAGATTGCTGTCGTCCAAACCATGCTGTGGGGGATCGGGGATACAATCCATTTACCAGATATCAAACCTAATGTCAGCCTTGCTTGCATATTTAAAGACGAGACGCCGTAGTCGCGCTGGTGCTGGACCGGCAAGCGGCCAATGACGCCTCCTGCAAGGCTGATGCTGAACACAATATTGCATGGCCGAACCGAGAGGGATCGACCAAGTGACCTGTGCGGGACACGTGGCGCTGTCAGTTGTGACCAATGTTAATTAGAAATAGTATCTAACTCTTGCAAGGGCTTCGGTCCCAGCCCCCACACGTTGTGCACCCCCGCAGACTGATGGGTTACGTCGGCCAAGTTACCTAGCCCCGGCCGAGCCCGGACACACAGGCAATGAATGCCCCGTCAATGTCACATGTCAAATGGCGTGCAAATACTACCCCATTAGCCCACGCCTGCTCTCTTAAGAAGAGCGAGCTTTCCAAGGCATGGATCAAACCCATTGGTATGGGGCGCCAAAGTGGCAGCTTTGGGAACTTATCTACATGACGACGGCTGATACCTGCCCCTCCGTTATCGTCTTGACCGTCGCGTGCCTCATACGGCGTCCCGTGCTGACGAGGAGACCGCAGATGTGCACTTCAAACTTCTCAGTACCAGCAGCAGCCGTGCGAGCAGCAACCGTTCCCAGTGTGCGAGCATCCAGCTGAAGTGTGCCGTGCACTGTGTGACGCTGTGTGTGCCGTCCGGCAGCCATGCTGCCGAGTGTGCTGGGCTGGACGGCCTGCCTACTGGGCTGGGCGGCCTGCCTGCTGAACTGGACGGCCTGCCTGCTGGGCTGGCTGCTGCTCCTGGTCATGACGCTCCGGGTGGCGCTCGGCCCCGACGGCGTCGACGCCCTGCGCGCCCGCCTGATGGCCTGGGCCATGAACCGGTTCAAGACACAGCAGGAGCAGCAGCTCGCTGCCATCAAGGCCGAGCTCTTTGAAGAGATGAAGCAGATGCAGTCGGCGGGACCGAACCTCAAGGGAGGCAGTCTGGACATCCTGGAGGTGAGATGTGCCGGGGAGCGGTGCCGGCGTCCGGATGTGCCGCAAGGACCAGTGCATCATCGGTATACGACTGTCTTCCACCTCGCTGTAGACCCCGTCCAGCAGCCCTCAACCAGACACGCGTGCTGAAAGATGTTTACCACCGATGTTCCGCGCAGTTACAGACCTCGTTGCCAGGTCTGCAGCAATCACAACGTAGCTTGTGTATCATCTCAGATTGGCGTCGGCTGCGGCACGAACCTGCAGCACTACCCGGCTGGCTCTGTGCTGACCTGTGTCGATCCCAACATCCATTTTCAAGACTACTTCCGGCGAACGTGCGTCGAGCATGCTGCCCACCTCCACCCGGACATCCGGTTTGTTGTCGGTCATGGCGAGGATATGACGGCCGTGAAGGACGGATCGGTGGATGCTGTGGTACTCACCCTGGTCCTCTGCAGCGTGCGGGATCCCAGCAAGGTGGTGCACGAGGTCCAGCGCGTGCTCAGGCCGGTGAGACAGCGCTCCTGCCAACGGCTGGCAGCAGCCGCGGCTCAGGCGGGGATCTGGGCGCCGCTCGACTGCCTGCGTGACTTAATCGCCCGGCTCGTGTCTTACAGTCAGGCTCGTATTGCACGCAGCGCGACTTCCTTCATGCAATTGTCATGACGGCCTGCATTTTCGCTACCCGGATGGAACTGCATTGGCTAACTCAAACGCGTTGCATTATTGAGCTCTCCTCACCTCCCCCCATTATGTTGTGTCAAGAGCTACGTGATGAGACGTAAACCCGTAGGAATTAATGTCTTTTGTCCATACTCTTTTGACATGACTTTGAATATGTTGCCTTCAGGACCCGTCAGATTACTGAACTAGAGCGATTTAAATTTATCATGTCCTAAAAAGTATTCAGTGTCATCAATATCTGTTTCTACTGCAACGGCATAGACTGTCATGACTTGTGATTGTTATCCATGGCCTGAGCTACAAGACTTCTATGGCGTTCACAATATTTTAGTCAGACAATATGCTGCGATTTGAGCTGTACTTCAGTTTTTTTGTGGGGGGGGGGGGGCGTATGTGGCGTATGTTTCCTCTGGACATTATTTAGTTGGACTGCGGCAAACTGATATGAGAGGACCCGACCTTACCTTCGTTTCATCTGCTCAGCTGGGCTTTTTAGTTAGATGGGCTCGTACAACCAGAAGTTGCACTTTCGTCTGTCTTTCGTCAAAGTCCTTCGCGTAAAAGCTCCGCGTGGCAGCACATTATACCCCTTTAAGGCGAGCGAACATCAGTTGGGGCCAAGTAAGCAACTACTATAAGCACTGATATTGTCAACGTTGGTCGGCACCCGGCTCTCACTGATATTTGAGGCTAAATGAGGAGGTGCCCTTCGATCTCGTACAGCCTGGGTTGACTGATACGTGATCCAGTGGCTCTTGAGGACCTCGCTCAGCCGTTGCAGGCGTGTTGGCTGTGAGGCGGGCGCGGACCATTGGAATACGGCCTTTTGAAAACTATTTCGATGTCAGTTTTCACGACAGGAGACATGTATAGTCATTTACTCTCAGACGAGAGAGCTTACTGGTAGCAGCAACACGCGACCGTAGATGCTGCATCTATTTTAATGTCCTGCTACCTTATGTTAGAAAGTAACACTTAGCGTGAACGCCGTTACAGCTGTTAGCACCACTACCACACGCTCGCCTCCCGCAGAGTCCGCGTCAAAGCAAAGGCAATGAGGAGATTGACGCAGCGCAAAGCAAACTCATAACGAAAAGAAGGCAGGAAATGGCTGAAAAGAAGTGTTTAAACTATTTTACGGCTACCAAATGGCAAAACAATGAATTATCAGTACAGAACACACCTTATCTCTGAAAGGACACGTGTATTCATGAGCCATCTGTAGTGTGCTCAGGCGGCAAGTTTATTACCTGGAGCACATCGGAGCCAGAGAAACACATTCCAGAGGCGGA